AAAATAGAAACACTGAATTGTAAATGCTCTTTTAAGAGTTGGCATATAGCACTGCATAAATTAGATGGCTAGTACAGTTAAATTTATATTTTTAAATTACCAAATGCCTTCAGTCAAGGCTTTAAAATTATGAGCATGTGAATAGAGTTTCAAGTACAGTAGGCTCCTGGGACCATAACTCAATTTGTTTCTCCTTTATACTGTGTCTATATAGCTGATTATTTTTAAAAACAAACTTAATGTGTATTGATTGTTTCTGGTATTTTTTAGAGGAGTGGCTTTAATTTCTCAATTCAGTTCTGTGTTTTGGTTTTTAATAGGTATGCTTTCATAAGAAACAATGATAAAGTTGAATTTTGGGGGATTTTTAAAATTCAAACAAACATTAAGTAATGCATGTTGACTATGATCATATAAAACACTTAGCTGTGCTGTTCTGGCTTTTTTCTTTCATAGACCAATTCCTTCCTAATCTGGCTTCCACTGTCCTTGGTGAAAACTACTTTGATAGAACCTACCAGCTGCTTTATCTTTTGGTTAAAGGAGCTATACCTGTTGAAATCCACACTGCCACAGTGATATTTGTTTCTTTCCAATTACCTGCTGTAACAGAAGATGACTTTTATACCTCTCAGAATCTTGTTAGAAATCTTGCCTTCTTCCTAAAGATACCAAGTGACAAAATTCGTATCAGCAAGATGATAAGAGAGAAGAGTCTGCGGAGGAAGAGATCCATAGGATTTATAATTGAAATAGAGATTGGAGACCCTCCTATACAGTTCTTAAACAATGGCACCACAGGTATGAATAACAGGTGTTTGAGATGGAAGAATGCAATTACCAAATCTACATCCATAAATAACCTGATCAGGGCCTGATGAACCAGGCCTCATCAACCCCACATCCTGAACACTCTAAGCACCTAGAGACCCTTTTTCCTTCTTTGCTCCTATAATACCAAACTCTTTTGGAATTGGAAGGAATTTGAGCCTCTGTTTTGTTATTGTTGTGATTAGTATATTCTACAAAAGAATTTGATCTAATATAAAAAGCTCTGGGAAGACCTACCTAAGCAAGTGACCTTATAGATAAGGGATTAAGGATGAAAATAGTCAACGAAAAGACAGAGGAAAAGGTGTTCGAGGCTATGGAAATTGGTGAGAGTTTAGTGCATTTGAAGAGAGGAAACAGGTCCAATTGCTCTGGAGTAGAAGGAGCCAGGAAGGACAAGCTGCTGGATGTGAAGCTGAGGGATAGACAGGTGCTAGACATGGAGAGCTTTGGAAGTTAAAAGAAGGACTGTGGATGTTTTCTTATGAAGAAGAGATATTCTTGGATATTCTGAGCATTGGAGCAGTGGATTAGACTTTCCACAGTAAAGTCACAGATTCACTCTAGCAAGGGCAGATGTGCAAGAACATAATCTGTCTTTATTTCCTATGATTGAGCTAATCATCCTCACCATCCATCATCCCCTCCCTCTGTCCCTCACTTCCTATTTTTTTTTAATCAAAGATAAAAGATAAGCTCAACTGTCCCATCAGAGATATTTCTGCGGCTTAAATCATTTCCTTAGGACTACTCAAGTTTAGGCACTTGGGTAAATGTTCAGTTCTTCAAATTTTCTTTCTTTCCATCTGCTCCTTTCAGGTTGGGGTCTGAATACTAAAGGACTGTCCTGGCCTCTGTCCTCATGTTATGGTCTTGTCTTCACAGCCTCTGCTACAGAGTGGGTCATCTTCTCTGCTCTATATATGCATCTCTTGAGGTGCTACTGAACTTTCCTGGTCTTCTGGCATGCAATAGCATCCCCTGCTGCTAATCTGCAATCATGTCTTTGTCTTCAGTGGTCAAGCACAAGTACTCTGACCTACCCCTCCCCAAGAATAGGAGAGACAAGTATCTGTCAGAGGAAGATCTACCATACAGCTAATGAAGTTTAAGCTACAAGCCCCTTCACTGATACAAGTTCTGGCAGGCGCTTTCACTTTCAGTGCCCTAGGAGGGGTCTTCAAAATGTGGTCAAATCATTGAATGTTACTATGAAAACTACAAAAGTACAATTTTTCTGCATTCCTTTTCCTAAAGAGAGCCTCCAGATTTGTATATACTGCAGTTCCACTAAGTTTGGATCTACCCTATCTACCCATGTTCAGTCACTTCATTATTATACTCCCTGGCTCTGTGTAAACCTGGGTTCCAGGTGAAGGTCTCACTTTATGCCGCTAGGGATCTTCATTCATTTTCCCAGGAGGTTTGCTTCTAGGCATTGACCCTATGCACCTACTCGTTCTCACTCTGGAATTCTACCTGCTAAGCAGGCAGAAGTTTATTCCACTGGGGGATAAGTCTGTGGGAAGGCTTGCCTGCGTGGAGGGAGGTGTTTATAAACTCTTGGTCGGAAAAGCGTAGGAAGCACAGGCTTGTGTTGCAACCAGATTTCCCATGATGTTCTCTGCCCAGAGTCATAGTTAACTTTTCTTCATCAGTTCTGTACTCACTTGGACTTACAGGCTCAGGGTTTGGCCTTAACATGACTTTGCCTGTTACTTTAGTCTAGAAGTTGTAGAGGGCCCATGACATACATACAGATTACTCACCTACTCTTAGAAATCCCTTGTGAGTCCTTTTGTGTCATGAGGTCCAAAATTTACCACACTAGCTACTAAATATCCAAAGAAACTGGAATTTATTTTCTATACATGGCATACATTTCCACAGATATAACCCCTCCTATGCCCATCCACTTAAAGCAGTTTTAGCTTGTTAGATTTATCCAGACAAGTATAAGACCACTGAAGAATGTGGAAGTTAGAGATGGTGGGAGGGACAGGCTAATGGCATGTTTTCCAAACATAGACTTGGATAGGGTTTCAAGTCTGAAGGAGAACCCTACGACTTGATGAATCACAACAAAATGTTGAGAAGTGGCAAGAAAGATGTTCATATAGTTGTTCTCCTGGCTCATTATAGCTTTTACATAGTATTAGTATATCTAGAAATTCACAGATGACCTAGAAAGGGGTCACCTATATATTAAGGCATTTCTGAGCAGAGTCCTGGAGTCAGGAATAAGAAGCCTTCAAATTAAGGTCTTTGGTTTCTTGAGGCAATCAGCAGAAAGGAATGCCATCATATGTCTAACAGTCAGCAAGAACCTGTTAACAGTGCAGACGGGATCAGTCCTGCCATTCTGTGCCAGAAACCAGTGAAGACAAAGTAGTGATAGTAGTGCACAGACATTAACTACTACTGCTACAGCTAGACACACAAGCCCTCAGACTTGGGGTGCCTTCTTGAAGAAGGCTGTTTCTGGAGGGAGTATGAGGAGAGGGAGGAATCTGAAAGACTGAGCCTTTTCCCAAAAGAGTCTGCATCATCCAAAAGTGACCTTGTAAACTGAAAAGGACTGAAATGCCTTAGGACTGTGGAGTTCACAGTGTCATGTCAGACCTGCTGGCCCAAGATGTTACCTCCTTCTTCCTGATCACTGTGAGCTTTATGGCTTACCTTTAATGGAAGAAACTCAGTGATTTGAGTCCTCAAGGCATGATTCTGGATATAGAAAGTACAAGGGGTTAGCAAGGCCTGCAATACACCAAAATATTATCCTGGCTTACAGTCGTTTCTTAAAATACCAGTCTGACTCCACAGAGCCAGTATAACAGTGGTTTTAAATAATCCTACAGATGTGGCTTTAACTAGGATTTTAACAGCAGGGAAAGAGAGAGTTAGAAATTGATAATGGATTAGATGTGGTACAGTAGAGAGTTGAAGGAGCAAGGATTTAGCAAAACTACCAGACTTCTGAGAAAAGGAATATGATGCATCAGGGTATCACTTTTTAAGGTAAGGACTAATAGAGGGGCAGAAAGTTTAAGAGGAAATCCCACAACTGCCATGCTAGAAAAAGGGAACAGAAACTATACGTAATGTTAAAAGTAACTGAAAATTGTCAAATGTCCAAAGCAAATAACAACTGGTTAGTAATTCAGTAACTTTAGCAACTATTAATACATACTCATAATATGATAGATTCTAACTCTCCTTCCATTCCAAAATTAACACTCTATTTTTTAAAATGACACATGATAGAAATGCATGATAATGCTACATTGGTAAACAAAGATTGACTTGAGAAAGCCTCATAAATTTAGAGACATATATTCTTCCACTATGTTTTCATTCATTTTTCTTGTATCTGTTTTATCTACCTTTGTTTTTCATTTAATTCAAACTTAAAATATATTCTCTTGAGTTATTCATTTTCCCATCCTCATTAACATGACTTGTGTTTTGCTCAGGTAAGATTAGAAAGCCTTAGACTCCCATAATGTGATGGAGCAATGCAAAGAAAGCTAAAGTGAAAAACTCTCATGTGTTCTCACAATTCTATATTTTTATAATCCAAATGTCATAATACTGTTTCCCCACAGGTCAGATGCAATTATCTGAACTCCAGGAAATTGCTGGTTCTCTTGGACAAGCTGTAATATTAGGAAAAATCAGTAGCATCCTTGGATTTAATATTTCTTCCATGTCTATTACTAATCCCCTCCCCAGCCCAAGTGATTCTGGCTGGATTAAGGTAAGAAAATGCAAATAGAAAAAAATGCATTTTTTTTGCTACTTAAAATATCATTACTTATTTCTTCTTTTAACTCTCTGTTTCTATTTCAAGACAATAATTTGGAAGGCATGTCTTTATTATTTATTGTTGACTGTTTATAGGCTCACTAAAATGATTAGTTCTCTGAACAAAGGAGCATATCTTCCAAAAATTGTGTATTCATTCCAAATTTGCCTTTTTTCATAGTTATATAATGCTTCATAAATTTAATTGAGGAAATATTGTAATTATATTAATTTTACATATTGAGCATATTTTAAAATAAAGAATAAATATATTACACTCAGCCTGGCTAAAATGAGTTTGCTGCTGAGTGTAGTTTATCATGTAGAAATTGGTTCATCACTTGTCCATTCACAGGTAACTGCCCAGCCAGTTGAAAGGTCTGCATTTCCTGTTCACCACGTTGCCTTCGTGTCCTCACTCTCAGTGATCACTCAGCCGGTGGCAGCACAGCCGGGACAGCCGTTTCCTCAGCAGCCTTCGGTAAAGGCAACAGATTCTGATGTAAGTCATAACTCAAAATATTACTTAAGTGAAGGAATTAAGCTATAAATTCTGGAGGGTGAGCCAATTTCATTTATCCTGGTGTGCTGGCCACCTAAGGATCACACAGCCCCTTTAGAAGTTGGACTAATATCTAAAGAGACCAGCTTGTACTGTCTTAAAATGTTCATGCTAAATGAACTTCTGCTGCTGCTCAGATTTATGAACTTTTTATGTCCAATAAGGAGCTTCTTCAGATTTTCAATTTATAATGACACACTTTTGAAAATAAAGTTTTGCATATATTTTTAAAAGAGTGGAAATGAGGCAATTGTTATAATTCTTTCCTTTTTTTTTTTAAAGGGTAACTGTGTATCAGTTGGAATTACTGCACTAACTTTGAGGGCCATACTCAAGGACTCCAATAATAACCAAGTCAGTGGCCTTAGTGGAAATACAACAATTCCATTTAGCAGCTGTTGGGCCAACTACACAGATCTTACTCCCCTTAGAACAGGTGTGTGCACTATTTTGGATCTTCACATATATACCCATAAATAGAGATAATTATAATGTTCTTTTGATGAACAAAGCATTCTATAGAACTCTGGTCAATAAATTATAGAAATCAGAATGCTATATTTTTCCTTGTTTCAGAAAATATTTAATCTAGCTTAAAGTAGATTTAATGGCTGGGCCTGTAATCCTAGCCTATAATCTTAGCACTTTAGGAGGCTGAGGAGGGTGGATGATGAGGTCAGGAGATCGATAACATCCTGGCCAAGATGGTGAAACACAGTTTCTACTAAAAATACAAAAATACCCGTGCATGGTGGCATGCACCTGTAGTCCCAGCTACTCCGGAGGCTGAGGCAGGAGAATCACTTGAACCCAGGAGGCTGAGGTTGCAGTGAGCCAAGATTGCATCACTGCACTCCAGCCTGGGCATCAGAGCGAGACTCTGTCCCACCACTGAAAAAAGATTTAATATGTGAAATAAATAGAAATTAAACAATTAAGGAAATCGGAATTATGTCATGATTTATGTTATCCATTTGCATACTTTTCTAAATTTGCTCACTAAAGATGTATTACATTTATAGTAAGAAAAATTAACATGGATTTTCTCTTTTTTCCTTCTTTTTTTTTATTTTACTTTAAGTTCTGGGGTACATGTGCAGATCTTGCAGGATTGTTACATAGGTATACACAGCCATGGTGGTTTGCTGCCTCCATCCCCCCATCACCTACATTAGGTATTTCTCCTGTTATCCCCCCGATTTCCCCACTTCCTGCTATTCCTCCCCGAACCTCCTAACCCCCAACAGACCCCAGTGTGTGATGCTCCCCTTCGTGTGTCCATGTGTTCTCATTGTGCAACACCCACTTATGAGTAAGAACATGTGGTGTTTGGTTTTCTGTTCTTGTGTCAGTTTGCTGAGAATGATGGTTTCCAGATTCATCCATGTTCCTGCAAAAGACATGAAGTCATCCTTTTTTATGACTGCATAGTATTTTACAGTGTATATATGCCACATTTTCTTTATCCAGTCTATCTTTAATGGGCATTTGGGTTGGTTCCAAGTCTTTGCTATTGTAAACAGTGCCACAATGAACGTACGTGTGCATGTGTCTTTATAATAGAATGATTTATAATCCTTTGGATGTATACCAATAATGGGATTACTGGGTCAAATGAAATTTCTATTTCTAGATCCTTGAGGAATTGCCACACTGTTTCCAACAGTGGTTGAACTAATTTACACTCCCACCAACAGTATAAAAGCATTCCTATTCTCCACATTCTCTCCAGCATCTGTTGTCTCCAGATTTTTTATGATCACCATTCTAACTGGTGTGAGATGGTATTTCAACGTGGTTTTGATTTGCATTTCTCTAATGACCAGTGATGATGAGCATTTTTTCATATGTTTGTTGGCCACATAGATGTCTTCTTTTGAAACGTGTCTATTCATATCTTTCACCCACTTTTTGATGGGGTTGTTTTTTTCTTGAATATTTGTTTTAATTCTTTGTAGATTCTGGATATTAGCCCTTTGTCAGATGTGTAGCTTGCAAAAATTTTTCTCATTCTGTTGATTCCCAGTTCACTCTGACATTTGTTTCTTTTGCTGTGCATAAGCTCTTTAGTTTAATTAGATCCCATTTGTCTATTTTAACTTTTGTTGCCATTGCTTTTGGTGTTTTAGTCATGAAGTCCTTGCCTATGCCTATGTTCTGAATGGTATTGCCTAGGTTTTCTTCTAAGGTTTCTATGGTATTAGCTCTTATGTTTAAATCTTTAATCCATCCAGAGTTAATTTTTGTATAAGGTGTAAGGAAGGGGTCCAGTTTCAGCTTTCTGCACATTGCTAGCCAGGTTTCCCAACACCATTTATCAAACAGGGAATCCTTTCCCCTTTGCTTGTTTTTGTCAGGTTTGTCAAAGATCAGATGGTTGTAGTTATGTGTGTTACTTCTGAGGCCTGAGTTCTGTTCAATTGGTCTATATCTCTGTTTTGGTACCAGTACCATGCTGTTTTTATTACTGTAGCCTTGTAGTATAGTTTGAAGTCAGGTAGTGTGATGCCTCCAGCTTTGTTCTTTTTGCTTAGGATTGTTTTGGCTATGTGGGCTCTCTTTTGGTTCCATATGAAGTTTAAGATGTTTTTTTCCAGTTATGTGAAGAAGGTCAATGGTAGTTTGATGGGGCTAGCATTGAATCTATAAATTACTTTGGCCAGTATGGCCATTTTCACGGTATTGATTCTTCCTAACCATGAGCATGGAATGTTTTTCCATCTGTTTATGTCCTCTCTAATTTCCTTGAGCAGTGGTTTGTAGTTCTCATTGAAGAGGTCCTTCACATCCTTTGTTAGTTGTATTCCTAGGTATTTTATTCTCTTTGTAGCAATTGTGAATGGGAGTTTGGTCATGATTTGGCTCTCTGTTTATTTGTTACTGGTGTATATAGGAATGCTTGTGATTTTTGCACATTGATTTTGTATCCTAAGACTCTGCTGAAGTTGCTTATCGGCTTAAGGATATTTTGGGCTGAGATGATGGGGTCTTGTAAATATACAATCATGTCATTTGCAAATAGAGACAATTTGACTTCCTGTTTTCCTATTGAGTACCCTTTATTTCTTTTTCTTGCCTGATTGCTCTGGCTAGAACTTCCAATACTATGTTGAATAGGAATGGTGAGAGTGGGCAGCCTTGCCTAGTACCAGTTTTCAAAGGGAATGCTTCTAGTTTTTGCCCATTCAGTATGATATTGGCTGTTGGTTTGTAATAAATAGATTTTATTTTGTTGAGATATGTTCCATCAATACCTAGTTTATTAAGAGTTTTTAGCATAAAGTACTGTTGAATTTTGTCAAAGGCCCTCTCTGCATCTATTGAGATAATCATGTATTTTTTTCTTCGGTTCTGTTTATGTGATTGATTACGTTTATAGATTTGAATATGTTGAACCAGGCTTGTATCCCCAGGATGAAGCCTACTTGATTGTGATGGATAAGCTTTTTGATGTGCTGTTGCATTTGGTCTTCCAATATTTTATTGAAGATTTCTGCATAGATATTCCTCATGGATATTGGCCTGAAATTTTCTTTTATAGTCATATCTCTGCCAGGTTTTGGTATCAGTATGATGTTGTTCTCATAAAATGAGCTAGGAAGGATTCCCTTTTCTTAATTGTTTGGAATAATTTCAGAAGGAATGGTACCAGCTTCTCTTTGTACATCTGGTAGAATTTAGCTGTGAACCCTTCTGGACCTGGACATTTTTTGGTTGGTAGGCTATTAATTGCTGCCTCTATTTCAGATCTGGTTATTGGTCTATTCAGGGATTCAGTTTCTTCCTGATTTAGTCTTGGGAGGGTGTAAATGTCCAAGAATTTATCCATTTTTTCTAGATTTACTGGTTTATGTGCATAGAGTTGTTTGTAGTAATCTCTGATGGTAGTTTGTATTTCTGTGGAATTGGTGGTGATATCCCCTTTATCATTTTTTATTGCATCTATTTGATTCTTATCTGTTTTCTTTTTTATTAGTCTGGCTAGTGGTCTATTTTGTTGATCTTTTCAAAAAACCAGCTCCTGGATTTATTGGATTTTTTTGAAGTGATTTTTGTGTCTCTGTCTCCTTCATTTCTGCTCTGATCTTAGTTATTTCTTTTCTTCTGCTGGCTTTTGAATTTGTTTGATCTAGCTCCTCTAGCTCTTTTAATTTTGACAATAGGGTGTAGATTTTAGATCTTTCCTTGCTTATCATATGGGCATTTAGTGCTATAAATTTCCCTCTGAACACTGCTTTAAATGTGTCCCAGAGATTCTGATATGTTGTGTCTTTGTTTTCACTGGTTTCCAAGAACATGTTTATTTCTGCCTTCATTTCATTATTTATCCAGTAGTCCTTCAGGAGCAGGTTGTTCAGTTGTGCAATTTTGAGTGAGTTTCTTAATCCTGAGTTCTAATTTGATTTCACTGTGGTCTGAGAGACTGGTTATTATGATTTCTGTTCTTTTGCATTTGCTGAGAAGTGATTTACTTCCAATTATGTGGTCAATTTTAGAGTAAGTGTGATGTGGTGCTGAGAAGAATGTATATTCTGTGGATTTGGGGTGGAGAGTTCTTTAGATGTCTGTTAGGTCTGCTTGGTCCAGATTTGAGTTCAAGTCCTGGATATCCTTGTTAATTTTCTGTCTTGTTGATCTGTCTAATATTGACAGTGTAGTGTTAAAGTCTCCCACTATTATTGTGTGGGAGTCTAAGTCTCTTTGTAGGTCATTAAGAACTTGCTTTATGTATCTGGGTGCTCCTGTATTGGATGTGTATATATTTAAGATAGTTAGCTCTTCTTGTTGCATTGATCCTTTTACTATTATGTCATGCCCTTGTCTCTTTTGATCTTTGTTGGTTTAAAGTCTGTTTTATCAGAGAGTAGTATTGCAACCCTTGCTGGTTTTGGTTCTCCATTTGCTTGGCAAATCTTTCTTCATCCTTTTATTTTTAGTCTGTGTGTGTCTTTGCACATGAGATAGGTCTCCTGAATACAGCACACCGATGGGTCTTGACTTTTTGTCCAATTTGCCAGTCTGTGTCTTTTGATTGGGGCATTTAGCCCATTTACATTTAAGGTTAATATTGTTATGTATGAATTTGATCCTGCCATTTTGATACTAGCTGGTTTCTTTGCCCATTAGTTGACACAGTTTCTTCATTAAGTTGATGGTCTTTACCATTTAGTATGTTTTTGCAGTGGCTGATACTGGTTGTTTCTTTCTATGTTTAGTGCTCCCTTCAGGAGATCTTGCAAGGCAGGCTTGGTGGTGACAAAATCTCTCAGCAACTGCTTGTCTGTAAAGGATTTTGTTCCTCCTTCACTTATGAAGCTTAGTTTGGCTGGATGTAAAATTCTGGGTTGAAAATTCTTGTCTTTAAGGATGTTGAATATTGGCCCCCACTCTCTTCTGGCTTGTAGGGTTTCTGCCAGGAGATCCACTGTGGGTCTGACGTGATTCCCTTTGTGGGTAACCCGATCTTTCTCTCTGGCTGCCCTTAGCATTTTTTCCTCCATTTCAACTCTGGTGAATCTGATGACTATGTGCCTTGGAGTTGCTCTTCTTGAAGAATATCTTTGTGGTGTTCTCTGTATTTCCTGTATTTGAATGTTGGCCTGCCTTGCTAGGTTGGGGAAATTCTCCAGGATAATATCCTGAAGAGTTTTCCAGCTTGGATTCATTCTCCCCATCATATTCAGGTACACCAATCAAATGTAGATTAGGTCTTTTCACATAATCCCATCTTTCTTGGAGGCTTTGTTTCTTTCTTTTCACTCTTCTTTCTCTAATCTTGCCTTCTCATTTTATTTCATTGAGTTGATCTTCAATCTCTGGTATCCTTTCTTCTGCTTGATTGATTTGGCTATTGAAACCTGTGTATGCTTCATGAAGTTCTCATGCTGTTTTTTTCAGCTCTATCAAATTGTTTATGTTCTTCTGTAAACCGGTTATTCTAGTTAGCATTTCATCTAACCTTTTTTCAAGGTTCTTAGTTTCTCTGCATTGGGTTAAAACATGTTCCTTTAGTTCAGAGGCGTTTGTTATTACCCATCTTCTGAAGCCTGCTTCTGTCAATTCGTCAAACTCATTTTCCATCCAGTTTTGTTTCCTTGCTGGCAAGGAGTTGTGATTCCTTGGAGGAGAAGAGGTGTTCTGGTTTTTGGTGATTTCATCCTTTTTGTGCTGGTTTCTTCCCATCCTCATGGATTTATCTACCTTTGGTCTTTGAAGTTGGTGACTTTCAGATGGCGTCTCTGAGTGGACATCCTTTCTGTTGATATTGAAGCTGTTTATTTCTATTTTTTAGTTTTCCTTCTAACAGTCAGGTCCATCTGCTGCAGGACTGCTGGAGGTCCACTCCAGACTCTGATTGCCTGGGAATCACCCATGTGGGCTGCAGTACAGTAAAGGCTGCTGCCTGTTCCTGCTTCTGGTATCTTCATCCCAGAAGAGTACCCACCAGATGTCAGGCAGAGCTCTCCTTTATGAGGTGCCTCTTTGGATATATGGGGATCAGGGAGCCACTTGAGGAGGCAGTCTGCCCTTTATCTAAGCTCCAGTGCTGTGCTGGGAGCTCTGTTGTTCTGTCCAGAGCTGCTGTGCAGGAATGTTTAAATCTGCTGCTGCAGAACTCACAAACACCTCCTTTCCCAGGTGCTCTGGCCCGGGAAGGTGGGGCTTTATTTATAAGTCCCTGACGTGCTGCTGCCTTTTTTCAAAGATGCCTTGCCCAGCAAGGAGGGTGTCTAGTCACAGTCTGCCTGCTGGGGTGTTGCTGAGCTGCTGGGACCCAGCTGCTGTGTAAACTTCCTTGGTGTTTTGTTTACATAGGTAAAGTTAGAACTGCCTCAGTAATGGCAGACTGCCTCAGTAATGGCAGAATGCCTTGGTAATGGTGGACTGCCTCGGTAATGGCGGACTGCCTCGGTAATGGCGGATACCCTTCCCCTTACAGAGCAACCATCCCCTGTCAATCTCAAACTGCTGTGCTGGCTGTGAAACTCAAGCCAGTGCATTTCAAATTGCTGGTCTTCATTGGGGTGGGATCCACTGAGCCAGATCACCTGACTCTCTGCTTTCAGTCCCCTCTTTTTCAGGTGAATGGGCAGCTCTGTCTCCCAGGTGTTCCAGGTGGCAGTTAAAACAGCTGCCCATATTTGTGTGGGTTTTTGTGCTGGAAACCCATGGCACCGGCTGAAACAGTCATCCTGGAAACGTGCAGCACTTGTCCGCTGGCAGGTGGGAGTCTCCTGGTCTGCGGGCCATAAAGACCACAGGAGAAGTACAGTATCTGATCTGGAGTGCCAGGGTAGCTGGAAAAGCCCTCAATGACCTCTGTTGGTTAGGAGGGGGATCCTCCAGTTTGCTGCACTTCCTGTGTGAGGGAGCACCCCACCCTGTCTCAGCTTGCCGTCCTTGGGTACACCCACTGTCCAGCCAGTCCCATTGAGATGCACCTAGTACCTTGGTTGGGAATGTGGAGATCACTCGCCCTTTGTGTTGCTCTCACTGGGAACTGCGCTTTGGAGCTGCTCCTATTTGGCCATCTTGGCCACACCCCCCTCTTTTTTTTTAACGTATAGATTTTCAGATTCAATAAAAGAAAAAGTAGGCTCATATAACTTTGATACCTTAAGGAGGAGTTCAGAGTTGGGCTAGAAAGTTGACTGTAGTCTTTCTGAAAGCCAAGGCAAAAGAGAAAATGAGTATTATCATAATTTGTAGTACCCATCAAATAAACAGACCAGTCGCTGTGGAAAATTAATAATATTCTCTGAGAATAGAACTAATGTCTCCTGTAACTTCTCAGAAAGTGTGCACAATTAATCTGTAGTAAGTGATATTGTCATCATAGGTGCAGTAAATACAGCCATGACTGCTACAATGTTGTTTTTTAAACACTATCTTCATATAGGTTGATGACACGACTCCGATTGGTAAAAACCATCCTACTAGGGCCTGAATGATATATTCCAAACAGATCTCTCTTGGTGATGTAGAGTATCTAATGGAATGAAATGGATAAACTGCTTACATTTGAGAATGGCCTCCATTGTTGTATGTTCCAACCTCGGGCCCATTTAAGACAGTTAGGGGCCTTATCTTCTGAAAAGCCTATGTAGAGGCACCCCCATCAATTTTTTCCCGATTGTTTTGTTTCTCCATGCTTTGGTAGTGCCCTATACAAGATATGTCCAGTCTGCCTACTGGGCAGCAATATCTCAGCCTGATGTTTGATAATTAAATGACAATGAGTTTAGTGTTGTGCTCCTAGATAAGTGTCTAGTGTTCCACTGCTTTCTGGTTAAGAGCAGAGCTAACTTCTTTTAACTATCAGCCCAAATGGAATGTTTTTATGGGAAATGAGACACCTGACAAGAACCCTACTGAAAGGATGTTTGCTTACCTCCTAATGAGGGTGGACCCAATAAGTGCCCAGTGGCAAAGACCCAATCTTGTGACCAAGATCTTCAGACTACAATGTTTTAAAAGTACCCAGGATCATTGGAGCACAAAAACACTAAAATAGGTTTCAGCATTTTACTGTGTCAACAAAATAATTAAAGCACTTTTCTTTTATATATTAAGTTTTTTGTTGTTGTTGTTGTTAATCAATGAGAGCCTGTTATGTTGCTCAGGTTGGCCTTGAACTCATAGCCTCGCCTCCTCAAGCGCCAGGACAACTGGCCAGAGCCACCGTGGCTCCCCTTATACATTAAGTTTTCTTTCAGAAATCTTGGAGTGTGTATCTCACTTGCTATGGAAAAGCACCAGTGCTCTTTACCTGTTCCTTCCTTCCTTCCTTCCTTCCTTCCTTCCTTCCTTCCTTCCTTCCTCCCTCCCTCCCTCCCTCCCTCCTTGCATTCCTCCCTCCCTCCCTCTCTCACTCCCTCTCTTCCTCCCTCCCTCCTTTCCTTTCTTCTTCCCTCCCTCCCTTCCTCCCTTTCTGGAGTGTCTATTTCACTTGCTATGGAAAAGAATGAGTGCTCATCACCTGTCCATCCTTCCATCCTTCCTTCCTTCCTCCCTCCCTCCCTCCCTCCTTGCCTTTCTCTTTCCCTCCTTCCCTCTCTCCCTCCCTCCCTCCTTGTCTTTCTCTTCCCACCCTGCCTCTCTCCCTCCCTCTTTCCCTCTATCCCTCCCTCTCTGTCTTTCTCTTCCCTCCCTGCCTCTCTCCCTTCCTCTTTCCCTTCCTCCCTCCCTCTCTCCCTCCCATCTTGCCTTTCTCTTTCCCTCCCTCCCTCTCTCCCTCCCTCCCCACTCTTCACCCCTCCCTCCTTCCCTTCCTCTCTCCCTCCCCCACTCTGTCCTCTTTCTTACCATCTCCTTCTCCCCTTCCCACTCCCTCCCTTCCTCTCTCCCTTCCCACTGTGTCCTCTCTCTTACCATCTCCTTCTCCCCTCCCCTCTTCTTCTCCCTCTCCCCTTTTCTTCATCAAGTGTGGCATCTCAGTTCCCTGGTTATGTACAATAAGGAAAGTCAAGTATAGTCATCTCTTCATTATTTTTAAATCAATTAGTTTGTAGATTAACCACAGTAAAATTATAATAACAATAAAGCATTAGTGAGAAAATTAACAGAACGTCTTTCACTGACTCTTTCTAGCAGGTTACCCTCACAGTCACTGCACTGAAGGAAATCCCCTTGCTGATCAGACTGCAACCTGACAGGACAGCACCCCTCTTCTTCATATAGCTACATAACGAGCAAAGCTGGGTACTTGGATAGAGGAGATATGGGTTGTGGTTTCTAACACAGAAAATAATGATGGAAGAATTGGGTGAGAAACAGTTGCTTAAAGAGGGTATTGCTAAAAGACTTTGGGACATAATTTGTTTAGCATCCTATGTAATATTTAGTGTTTGTTTCAGTTTCTATTGCTATGTAACAAACCATCCTTAAATCTAATAATTTAAAACCATTTGATTTGCTCACAATTGTGTGGCTCAGAAATTTGGGCCGGGATGGCTCATCTCTGTTCGACAACATCGGGAGCTTCAACTGTGAATTTCTATTAGCTAGGGCTGGCTAAGATGGCTTTATTGAGGTTATATCTCCATGGACCTGATTCTGGATTTTGGCTGGGTTCTTCAGTTCTTCTCTATGTGGTCTTTCCATAAGGCTAGCTTGGGCTTCTTCACAGTACTTCCGGAGGAGAAAATCAAAAGGACTACCCTAAATAATTTGCTCATCAAAAAAATTAATAAAAAAATTTACCTGCCACAAAATTCAGATTTTTTAATGCAAAAAGAAAAAAAAATTTAATACACCATTGTCAGGAATTGTCAGTGACAGAAAATTCTATAGAACAGTGCCTATATATCCTGAAAGTTATATAACGACTTGCTATTGTTCATGAAACCACAGACATGATCAAGATCTAATTATATTCTCTTCCAAAAAAAAACAGAAATGACTTTTTGGAAACAAATAATAGAAAACAGACGAGTAAAAACTTACAGGGCTGTACAAGTATTAGAAAAACCATTCTTTAAGGTGACTACTATTAATGATAACAGTAGACCCAAAAGAAATAATAGCAAGGAAAATATGTTGGTTGTCTCATATTAAAAACTCTGGGAAGATTTAACCTGGAGTTTAAGTAATATTTGGATGGGCTCTTTAAGTTTTTTACATTCTAAACACAAGTAACAATGTTTCTAAAATGTCTACCTGAAGTAATGAGAAAGGGTTACAGTCTTGTAATACAAAAATAGCATCTAACTTCAAACAAATGTGAAAGATGGTAGAAGTTTTTTGAATCTGAGTAGAGGGCATAATTTTTTGCTGCATTATTCTTTCAACCCTTTTCGTGTTTGAAATTTTTCAAAATAAAAAGTTCAGTATCCATCCCCACCTCCCCCAACTGAGACTGATGCTTCCACTCCTAGGTCAAGTCTGAAAGGATGAAACAGATTCAACACCTTCACCTCTCTTCCCTATTGTCCCTCATTTTCATTTCCAACAGCCTTTGCCCAGTCCTGGGCACTAGGAAGGGGCCCTAAGAAGCAGGTATTGCTGCTGCAGAAAGAAAATCTACCCAGCTTCCACACTGTTCAGTTAATGGGCAGATTGAACTCATCTAACTCTGAGATCCTGTCTACACTTGCCTGCACTTAAACTAATTTATTTGACTCAACTTTCAAAAATATTTCATTAGAATCTAAATAGTGTTTTTTTCAGTCAATGAAAACCAAATTACAACTGTTTGAAAACAAGTAAAAAAAAATCAAACACTATGATGCTTTTTTTTCCCAGGTAAAAATTATAAGATTGAATTCATACTGGATAATGTTGTTCGCGTAGAATCCAGAACTTTCAGCCTGCAGGCAGAGTCTGTTTCTAGCAGCAGTGGCAGCAGTAGCAGTAGCAGCAGCAGTGGCGGCGGCAGCAGCAGCAACAGCAAAGCATCAACTGTGGGTACATCTGCTCAGATAATGACTGCAGTAATTAGCTGTCTGATTGGAAGAATGTGGCTCTTGGAAATATTTATGGCTGCAGTTTCGACTGTGAATATAACTTTAAGTAAGTAGAGTTCATTAAGATAATATTTCTCCACATATTGAAGTACCAGTGCTTACTGGATAAAGGCTGTGTGCACAGCTCCTATGCATGGTATTACTGTGGGGACAAAGAGAAGGTAACAGCCTCAATGGCAGAGACAAGACAACCTATAGAAAGTGTTATTTGCTACATGTTGGTCTCTAAGAATGTGGTGAAACAAGGCTGGGAATGGTGGCTCACACCTGTAATCCCAGCATTTTGGGAGACTGAGGCAGGTGAAACACCTGAGATCAGGAGTTGGAGACCAGGATAGCCAACATGACAAAACCCTGACTCTACTAAAAATAAAAAAATATTAGCCAGGCATGGGGGTGAACTGTAATCCCAGCTGCTCAGCAGGCTGAGGCAGGAGAATTGCTTGAGCCCAGGAGCTGGAGGCTGCAGTGAACCGAGATCCCACCACTGCACTCCAGCCTGGGTGACAGAGTGAGACTCTATCTTAAAAATAATACATACATACATAAATACATACATACATACATACATACATACATACATACATACAGTGGCAAAGTAAAAGTGCAGGTCATGTCAGAACTCTTTTTGAATTGCAGGATGCAGATTCTTAGCTTGCATTGATTAGGCAGTAAAGTGATCACTTAGCTGAAAAGTCCAGAAGTTGTCTGGTTTCTCAAACAGTTGGATCTAAGGACTCAAATGGTATCTTCCAGAACCTCTGTCTCTTTTTTAATCAGCTCCACTCTCTTTGGTGTTAGCTTCACTCCCAGGCTGACTCTTCATCACCCCAAATCCTCATTACAAAGGTATCCACTATCATCCTCTACCAGCCCCTCAGCCAATGCAGATATAGCCAACCTCTTTCCCAACAGTTCAGCTAAAGCCCCAAAGCTATGTCATTGACCTGGCTTGGGCCACATACCCATTCCTGAACCAATCACTGTGGCCATAGCATTCTAATTAGCTTGACCTTAGTCACATGGGGTAAGGTACTGAGAATGGTGAAAGTGTAGTTTCACTAAGGAAAATAAAGATGCTAGTAATAGCGGAAGTGATAGGCAGACAGAGACACTGAATATTAGAGAAATTAATAAAAAGGAGAGGTTCCTATATGATTAGAGATAATTGCACATGTCATTGCATTATCAACACATGAAAGTCAGGATTGTATAAAATATATAAGATTTGGAGAGGGAGGGAAAAGGCACTCGAGAACAGGGACATGATAGGAGCAAAGAAAAAATGGCAGTGGAATAAATCATCTTCAGTTATACATGTTTAGCACAGAATTCCTCATCATCTCCTTCAAACATACTTCTCCAGCTTCCCCATCTCAGTTAATGCCAGTGCCATTTTCGCCTCCATATTGCTGTTAGATTTAGGTTACATAATGCTAACAGTAATCTCAAATCCTCAACTATTTCTCACTACATGAAAAAAACATAACCAACATCAAAGGCTTTGAAACCAGATTTGAAGACTGTCTCCTTGTACCAAATCATTTCCAGTAAGAATTCTCTCCATCCTACATATTCCCTATGTCTATACCTAGGCTGTTTGCCTCTACTCACCAAGGTCACCTCTCCTAGCATCCTTCCAGGTCTTGCTCAAATGCCACCTCATTCTTCCTTCCCACTCTACATTTAATTCTCCTCTCCCTTTGTATCCAAGTGTACTTCGTGTTTGTACTATTATTACAGTCCTTTCTATAGTGCACTTGTATTAAGCTTATATTCAAATCTATCTTCCTCACCAAATTGTGAGCACTTAGAAGACTGTATACCTTACATATTATAAGTACTAAAAATATGGTTTAATTGATTTTAAATCCTGAAAGTGAAAGTTAAGTCTGTACCTCTGACTTAAGGGGAGATGTTGAGTAGGGGTATTGTAAGCAAATTGTAAAGAGCTTTGTTTGTAATTCATTTAATGAGGACAGTTTCTGACAGGTTAGTGAAAAAAAAAATCACGTAAGAGATACTGTATAATAAAGTCAACGAATTTGAGGTGGGGTAACAATTTAGAAAACTGCTAAAGCATATTGAACAATGAAAGCCAATACTAGATTTTAAATTTAAATATAAAGGATGAGGGGACATAGTAAGGCTGGGTCTTGAAGTGACAAAACAATCTGGAGGTTGAAACAAACCAGAGGGGTCTTTCTTAGAAAGACAGAGAACAAGAAGGAGGAAATCCTTTCTTCTTTCCTAATGGCAGAAATTAACTGGAGTCCAGTGGTCAAGGAAGAATCATGGTTTGCAGAGACCTTGTCTTGGCCTCTTACAGCCGATGATAGATGGGGTTTTATGTTATTTTTATACCAATTTTCTTGTCTCCAGAATAGTAATAAAAGTAAGGCCAGTTGTTTATTTTATAATAGGATGACAAATATTTCTTTATTTCTTCACAGAAGCATTAAAATATAAGGTCTAATTGGCTAAATATTGCTCAATATATATTTGTGCATTTTGCATTGCCTCATTAAGTGCAAAAGTCTTTATTGACTTTCATCCTGCTTACTCCTGACAACTTTGGTACTTTACCAAATTAATATAATTCTATTTTCAAATAATTAGTAAATCATATAGCTCCTAAGTTTTTCCAGGACCTTTTCCAAATAAAAAGACTAACCGATGTCTTCTTTTTTCCTACTAAAGTACCATTTTTCAATTAAGATATAATTTAAACACCATTAATGAATTAAAATGCTGGCTTCTTTATAACTTTGCATTCTGAACTAACAATATACTACTTTTAAGAGAATCATGAAATTTCACCAAATAAAAGACCTTATATTTTAAATGTGAAAAATAAAAAATCTTGTATAAGCATCAGAATCTATAAATTTCTACCAAAAAAACCCATTACTGGTTCTAACATTAAGTGAGTAAACTTTGAAATACTGTTAACTATACCATAAAAAATGAGAAATGTTAAAATTAATGAAATATATTATAAATTATGCTGTATGCTATTACTACTTAAAAATTGTTTTGTATTGTTTTCATTTTTCAGGAAGCTACTAAAGTGCTGTTCTGAAGAATAGGCTGAAAACAAAACTATGAGAATTGCTTGATAATAGTTATTTTGTTGTGCAACAGGCAAAAGTCTATAGCATTTTCATGAAAATATACTAAAAATATTTTTATAATATATAAAATGTACTAATTAACTTTAAACACAAAAATCAGATTTCTTCAAAATATAAATTTGTTTCGATTCTTTTTATTTGTATGTTCTTATTTCATTTCAATAAACTTCCAGAAATCTGTCATTTGGAAATAGATATGACACCTCTAAGTTATCATGCCAACAAATCGGAGACTCCTTTAAATAATGAAAGAGCTTGTCTAGTGCAGACTTAAGCTCTTTACATCAGATTGGAAGCATTTTAAGTATTTTTCTTAATACTGGGGCAGGGGGGTGGTTCTTATTTTCTCTATCCATTTATAAGGCTTTGATTTCCAACAATCTAAGCCATTCTAGTTTCTAAGGATTTTGGAAAGATGAGTTTCTTTTCACGCAATCTGAGTTGCTGTTTTTCAGATTCACAGTAATCTCAAGAATTCTAGACTGTTCTGTATTTCTGGATTTGCCAGACTCAGGCCAATATTCTAAGAAAAGTTTTCTTGTCCTGGAAATGAGCTTTTGGAACAAGTCCAAACTCCTTCTCTGACTATCCCTCTTTCCCACTCAAAACTACCACTACGAAGAGCATGACTCCCCTCAACCTCAGGCACCAGTTGAGGGTTGAGGGGTTCCCTCAACTGGTGGATGCGTATACACTGTTTACTGGATGAATGAAGCATAAAGTGTGGGGACATCAACAACAGAACAGAACAAATTTATTTTCAAGAAGATAAATTGTAGAATGCAAAGAAGCTACAGACTAATGCAGCTAAGTTAACTAAAACTCTACAACACTATTAAAAATTGCAAATTTTTACTCGGAAAATTCTAAAGGGAATACTTAATTTGACAGAACTCCCAATAAAGACATTGTAGCCTTATCCAAAGCTGGTAGATTTGGTTCTCACAAAAGTTACCTTCCAGCAAGTGACACTCAGCAAACATTTGGGACAGCTGAGAGAATTCAACAAAACCACACCTTTGTCTCTTGTATACCATCTCCTGGTACAATGCACCTCAGATCATTGTTAATCTTGCTTAGCAGAAAATGTATAAACACTTACCAAGTAGTAAAATTAAATATCTTGGTAAATGTGGCATTTCACTCATTTGAGCAGTATCTGTTAAGTGTTCTAGTAAGTAGGAAGGCTACAAGAAATAAGATGCTATGTCTTCTCTCCAAGTGTTTTCAGATATTCGGGGAAAGAGTGGAAACAGACCATTTCAATACAACATGATCACTGTCTCAGGGAGAGAGACAGGAAAGAGAGAGAGAGAGAGAGAGAGAGAGAGAGAGAGAGAGAGAGAGAGAGAGAGAGTTGGGTGGGGTCTGGGCGGCACAGACAATGGCACTTGCCTGGGAGAAAGAGCATCTTGTGAGGATGGAGATGGATGAGGGGCAGCTTCCAGAAGATGCCCAGGATGAATGCTAAGGATAAAGCATGGGATTCAGGAAGGCTGTCTCAGCAGAAGTATGGTGGCAAGAGTGAAGACCATCAGATAGCAAGTGCCCTGAAGGCAGGGGCTCTCCCTTAACAACACTTTTTTCCCCTGTCATCTAAAAAATTGTCTAGCACTGGTAGGGGGTACAGTTTTAACCAGACACTCAAATAGAATTTTTGGCTAAGACAAAGTACAAAAGCTGATACCAGACAAAGATGTAACACTTTTTAAATTAGGAAGCTTAAAATAGTAGGGATTTAAAGGAGGATTTTTGAAGAGCAGTTCTTTGGAAATGGCTTGTGCTGGGGATGCCCCTTTTCAAAGGG